GGTGTCTTCTACTTGTGTGTGAAGGCACGCGATGTCGCAGCCGATCAGGCGAAGCGAGAAGAGAGAGTTGAAGTGCAGCTCGCTTGCGGAGGCGCCTGAGTGGCAGGAAGGCCAACCGCACTTCTGCGACCCGATGTTCGACGACAAGAGTGTCGCTCACATGCACCTACAGTAGCGACATCATTGCTTCTGTTTCTTCATGTGCCGTATCCGTTCCCTTCCGAGCTGAGGTGCCCCTGGTCCGTGCTTTCCATGATCCCGTGCGGAACCGCTGGGAGCGGCTCCCGGAGGCGCGGAGGAGCCGAAGGAGCTTTTCACCAGTCCAAAGCCATGGGACGCCAGGGCCAAGAGCCACCGACGCCCCGGCAGCTCTACGCCTACTACCAAAAGGCGCTTTGAGAGCTGCGAGGCGCCACGAGCCTGCAGTCTCTGACTCGGCCCCTCGCAGAAAATGCCGGAGCTCATGGAGGAGGTGGACGTCCGGATCCTTCCGAAGGCAGTGGTCAGAAAGAGAGAGCCTCTCAAGTTCTCCTCTCTTTGTCCCTTCTTTCAGGTGAGCTTGACCGCCCGGAGCTGAGAGTCCACCGTGGCACACCCGAAAACAAATCCAATATGGGGCCTGTGCGGCGTGCATACAACCGCTCGCGCCGGAAGCTAGTCTCTTTTTTAAAACCGACCATCACCGTTCTTACAACCACGATCACGACCGCCACAGTCGCAATCATAAGCATGTTTGTCATCATGATCGCCAAGCCCCACATAGTTATGATGCTAGTTATGATCATCGCTATTGGCATCTTCATCATGCACGAACTTGCGCATGTCTCTGACACATGTCTCCACTTCCCATCGTGGAAGTAAAGTGACTCGACTGAATCAAGTCACACCAAACACGGCTGCACGGCGAAGTTGAACAGCCCAGCGGGGTCCGACCTGCAATAGCTAATGAATGTAGCTACGTTGGCCGCTTCATTGTCTGTAGAACCTACAGTGAGATACTTCTGCTCGTTCAGCTTCAAACTTGGCAAGGTCTTGAACGTGCCAAGAACTTCTGCGGCAGCACTCGCTGGCTTACTGTCCGATGTGTGAAGCTGCAGACTGCAGACTGGCAAATTCTGAGACTGGGAACAGGGTTTCGGTTTAGGGTTTCGGGCTTGGTGTTCCTCTCTCCCTGCATCAGAGCTTCGCGGTCTGGCTTTGTGGCAGGCAAAGCCGAATTTTCCACTCACTGCCACCTCAGCCAGCCGCTTATAAGTCCCTTTTCAGAGTTGGTCAGTGTTGAATCCGCTGCTCACGGTCTGCCCGACTGAAACACTCCGGACGAGGCCGCGTGATGCTGCAGTCCGCAGCGCCTTGCTGAGGGGCTGGTCGAGTGCTGCTTGGAGAAAATCGGTCTTCGACTTCTGCACATTTCAAGTGCTTGAGAAGTCGCGATCGGTACGCGACGACTGATGCACCTGTTCCACCATGTTCCACACCCATATCGTACCAAGTGGCATTGACTGTGTGCTCAGCTTGGCTTGGAGCGCGGGCACGTCTCAGGAAATCGGCATACAACGTGCATCAAGGTGTGTCACGATGCCGCTCAAGGCAGTCGGCTCCAATTCATGTTTTGGTCAGGGAATCCTGGCGACGAATCGGTGATCTTGGTCGTAGTGCATGCAAGCGAAGGCCATCATCACAGTAAGCGTAGCCAGTCTGGTCCGACCCGGTCCCGTCTTGCCAACATGACTTCCGAAGAGAGCGGCGCGGCGGAGGCAGGGTCTCCGGGTCGAAGCCCTTCTCGCAACTGACCCTGTTGCATATGACAAACCTCAGCATGATCACCACGGCCATGACATAAAGACTTGAGTTGCCTGTCTCGGCTGTTTGTCTCTGCAGGCGTCGGCAGACGAGGCTGCTCGTTTCTCGATCTCACTCTGTCATGACTTCGTCTTTGGGGCAGGTGTCGATGTTGCGCACGGAGGTCGGCAAACTGGCCCAGGCCCAGTAGCTTTGGATTGGCAACCCTTCGGCTCCGGAGTGGTTGCTTTGCGCGCTGCAGGAGATGCTGATGCACCGCCAAGTCCTGGAGCAATGTCTGGAGGCACCAAAGCCTGTCGCACTCTGGCACAGCACCCAAGGTTCAGAGCAAGTGAGCCCTGAGGTGCGTGAGAGCGTGCTGGAGCAACTGCAGAAGTTAGTGGCCAACAGAGACGCTTAAGATCCCCTGCGTGCTTCGCTTCTGGGCTTTCGGAGGAGCTTCTCCAACACCGGGAGTCCCTGGTTCAATGCCTGGAGCTCCGGGAAGGAGTGCAGGCCGCTTGAAGGACCAGTGCCCTAGCTCTGAGTGAAGAGAAATTGCTTGCAGGCAGCTCTCAGCAGCACGCAGATCATCGGCGAAGTCGTGGATCGCGTCGCACACAGCTTTCCTGGCCACCACGACACGCAGCCGTCACAGTCTCAGTCTCTCGCAACAGGCACGTCAGAGCTGGATCTCTCACTCGCCGGGGTGTCGGTGCCTGGGCCGAAGTAGCGGTTCTTTGACAGGCTGCGATTGCACTCGGAGCGCAGGACAACACGGCGCGGCACGGTCGAGCGATTGCTAGCCTCACGGAGCAACAGCGACGCCGAATCCTTACCGAGTGGTCGCACATCGTGGTAAACCAGTCCTGTATGCACAACCCGTGGAACTCGAAACACTGACAGCCCCCACTGCACTTTGCTGGAGTTGTCCGAACCATCTGAAACTTCCCTATCATTTCAGCCTTACATACCCTGCTCGGGTGCGACTGGACACTGGGATCGCCACCATGATTTGGTAACCATGAGCGGAAGAGCACTGCACGCAGCCCGAAGGCACCAGTGACACCTTGGATGCCGTCGTTCGTGCGGCCAACACCTCAGCTTCACTTTCACAGATCGACTGCAGCAGTCGAGGCGACCTGCAAGTTCCAAGACTCGCGAGGTCAAGCGATTAGACCGCAGCCGCTCGCGACAACGGGGTGTTGCTCGACAGGCCAGGGCGGCAGTTCAGTGCTCCTCTGTGCTGTTCCAGTGCAGCCGTGTGCAGAATCACAAGGCCGGATCTTCGGCACCATCAGAGCGTGCTGCGGCCCTGAGCTGGTGCTCACAACTGTCGTGAAGCTTCTAGCAGCCTAGGCGGCGTCCACCCGATCCATGCCCTTCTATGAGCGGCAAGGCCAGGATCGTAGGGCTGCTCGTTGGCTTCGAAGCTACAGCAGTTTGTTCGTAGTGTTCAACGTGGTGGCTTCGGAGGTGAAGGAATGGATGAGGAAGAACGGTCTCGCTGCCTTGTTGTCTCATGCAATGTCTCATGCAGGTCCACCACTCTCAAGCATGGTTGAGACTCTCAATCCTGGTCGCATTTCTGCTTTTGTTCCTCAAGTTCTGCCTTGCAGCTCAAGCTTGCGACAGACAAACGTTTAAAGAGCACTACTTCTGATGACTCCATTTCTGGCACATCTCTTCAGCACAGTTGAGACACTCAGCGTATGCAAGCCCAGTCAGAGACCTCACCACAGAAAAAATCTCATGCTGAATGCGGCTCCTGCTGCCCACTCTTCGCAGGCGTGCTCACTGCTGTGCGGAGTCCGATTGTGCCGCTGACCAAATATTCATGCTTAGGGGTCCTTACGGTAAGGATCCACTAGGGCCACGATGGCCCTACCATTACGAAGGGTCCCTTATTTTGAAGCTCCCATGTTTAGCAGGCATGCACTGGCACTTGCTTGGGCAGGGAGCGTGGTGGCCTGAGTTCCAGAAAAATAGAGTACGAAGGAATGTCGACAGTATGTGCTGTCATCACACGCAAAACGATAGTAATAACTCACGATTAACGCAATGGCAATAGCAATAGTAGCGGTAATATTTGTGCAATCAGTGGGCTTCCCGCTGTTTAAGTACTGATGCAGTTGCACGGATTCCTGAGGCACTTGCCGATGGAACCCGGCCATGCGGACTTGCGGCCATGCAGCTTCGATCTACAGACCATGCGGTGCGCCCGCAGAATGCAGCGGTTCATGTGCATCCACAGCTTGCCTGCCTCAATGCTGGACAGTTCCTGAGTAACCTACATATTGTGTATATTATGTGTACGTTCACATATAACCATACATACATATATACACACACACACAGACATACAAACACACACGCACACACACACACATATTCCTGTAAAGTATGGGTGTGCAGTACACATATCTATCACACACACATGTATGTATGTATGTATGTATGTATGTATGTATGTATGTATGGACGGACGGACGGACGGACGGACGGATGGATCGATGGATGGATGGATGGATGTATGTATAAGCATGTTTATAATGTAGTATGCACATGCTGATGGCCGCTCCGTAATCTGGCACAGCGGTTGGAGAATGCCTCTGCGAGGTGGATCTGCAGCCGCGCTTCTCCCCGGAGGAGTTCAGCTATGCAGCGAGCTCACAAAGCCAAGAAGCTGGCACAAAACTGCCCGAGCTCAGCGCTTAGTCGGCCACCCTGGACTTCTCCATGGAGACCTTCTCCATTGACGCGGAGCCGGAAGCAGGTCCGCAGGCGGTGTAGAGACTGACGGAGTTCTGATCTCCTTGGCGATGGGAGGTTGTGAAGTTGGTGGCCTTCCGAACCGCCCATTCCTCGCCCCTTCTGTCGAAAAAGGCCTGGAGGTTCAGTCGAAACTGCTGTCGGCTTTGTTGCATACTGTTCAGATCGCCCCTGTCGCCAAGGCTTGTTTGAAGATGTTGTAAATCCAGAGCCAACGTACGCCGTATCATGGCTCAAACACGCCTACAAGCCGCTGGCGGCTTTAAAAATGTGTAGAAAGTACTGTAGAGTCTGTAGCGGCCTGCAGATGGCCAGCAGAAAGTTGGTTGCATGCCGGCTCGAATTCGAATGAAGCCAGAATTACAACTCTCGCGCCCGCTGACAGTACATCAACCGCATCATTGGATTTTCTAGATGTGGATCATCTTCTTGTTTTGTATTGCACCGCATACCAAAGCTTTGGAAGGGTAGGTTGGCAGGACACCAACATCTCACCGCTCGAGACCCGAATCCAACAGTCCTTGCCTCAAGCAGGCGGCAACCCAAAGGAGTCGAACATCTGCGCGCGCGATCCGGCGCAGGGCTCTTACCTTGCAGCGTGAATATCCCAGATGTTTGACAGAAGCAGGTCCTTCGTCTCAGTTGGGTTGCAGCAAAGGACGGGAGCCGAGCAGTGGTATCGCGTTTCCGCGCTTTGCTCAGTCTCGACGTACTGGGGACTTTTTCCTGCGACGCGGCACGAAAATCGTGCAGTTGCAAACAGATCGGATCATGATGTTTTCAGGTTGCGAAGCTTTCGGGAGCAGAGACGGAGGCCCCCGTGTGCTGCGGCTACTTCTTGAGCTGATAGTTCGTCGGCACGTCAATCGGCATCATGCATGCATGCCAGGGTACGAGGTATAGACCCATATTAGACTATTGTTAAACAGTGGGTGCGGGTGAAAGCATTGTAACATCGAAGGTGCTTCGCCAAGCTTTAAAAGCTGCCGGCAGCACCTCTTTCACCCCGTCCGGACACATCATGTTCACACACGAAAGTTTCCCATGTGCCAGATTGCCGGAATGCGGGTTCGAGGCCAGGATGGTTTTGAACCCGGCTGACTCTGCACAGAGACCGTCATGGTGTGCATCCGAGGATGCTCACGCATGCTTCGTCAGGAGGTGAGCTGGTTCCAGGATTTCGGCCACAACAACGACTCTACCAGGCCTTGCAGATCTTGGAGAGCCAGGGTCGCATCCTTCCCACACTCGCTGAGGTCCAACTCGACGTGTCACATGATTTCGTCGAGGCCGAGTCGTGGGGAATGATGAATGTCGATTCTGCTCTCTGTGCAGTTGCGATTCCCTTCAACGCGCCCATTCCTGGATCCAGAGCTAGTGAGTGATGCCGAGTCGATGCGGCTTCCATCAAATCAGGGACTATGCCCGCCAATTTTTGCGCCAATTTTTGCAGGTGGACTTTGTCTTGCAGGATAACGGGCAGAAGGTTCTTTGGAAGGCTTCGACATGTCTGCCATTGCTAAGTCGCACAGTGATACGCCGCACAAGGCGACGCCGGAAGTCCGACGCCAAGGCTTGAACAGCCAAAGCAGCATTGCTACTCGCTTGCAGACTTGTATTGAGTCTTGAGCCCTCACTGCCCTAAAGCCCCAAAGCTAAACTGAACGCCGAACTCCCTCTCGAGGTGAGAGCCTTGGTCATGGAGACAGGGGAGCAGCAGCATCACCAGAGGCATGAGGCAGGGACCTTGCAAAAAGCGCCCCCCCAATTACAAAGAGGCTCTGGGTTTCAGGGTTCGCGCGCCTAAACTACGTAAGTCCGAAGAAAGCAAATGCAGCGCGAGAAGCGGAACGGCTGCGAAGCAGACAGTGCCCAAGCCTGTGGCAGGAAGTATCAAGCGGGCTCCTCAGAGGCCCAGCCTAGGGAAGAAGACGAACGGCGGAGTCGGTCCTCTTGTGCCGTCACCTCCGGCCGGAACAGCGAGCCGGACAGACCGATTGAAGTCCAAATTGGCCTGTGCTCCCAGACATGGCAAATTTACAGGAAAACCCGAGCCGGGCGCGGACCTGCACCGCTCAAACCAGGCTACATCCCTCTTTAAGCTCAGAAACCGACCCCCTCACTAAGCGACGGCGGTTGATCACATTTTTGGAACCTGCCTCATGAGGCGACGGAGGTTAGGCCCGTTTCTCAAACCCGCCCCCTATCATGCGGACGATTGCACTTGTTGAACCGACGACGCCCCTTCAATAAGTGATGGCAGTTGATCACATTTCTCAATCCTGCCCCCCTCATTAAGCGATGGTGGTTGGTCGCATTTCTTCACCCGGCCGCCTCACAGGGCGACGGCGGTTGCTGACGGGTGTCAGCAGAAGTGGCCCCTAAGTTGATACAAAGCGTAATGTTCGAAACCTGGGTTGCTCTCTACATCAAACCTATAGCTGCCTCAGCTAGATTGCCGCGAACTCGGCAAATCCGAAGCGAGCAACAGAGACTTGATTTCATTAGTATTGCCTGTCCACGATTGCCCTCATGATTCCCCGGTATCTCTTGCGTGCTGTGCTTCATTCTTTGATCTGCTACGGAAGGCTTGAGGATTTTTGGGTCTGCCTCTGCAGTTTCAGAAAAGTTTCAGAGTCGTGTCCTGTCGGAGGTTTTTCCACTCGATGTGGGCCGGACGCCCATCTATTTGCGTGCGCCCGCATGCTTTCAGGCATTCATCGTGTCACCTCTTGCACAAGTCTTTCAACACACAGTGTTGCGTTCGATGACAGATGCTCGGGAGCACAAGTGTAAATCAACGCAGTCAGGCTTCAGCCGCCAACTTTCCCTGCACATTGAGTCGGCAGATCCCATGAAGGCGCAATCTTGAAGACCACGCAATGCTTCCGCTTGCTTTCGATTTTACAGTGCATGTTGCGCTGGGAGGCAGCTCAGGGTATCTACACGATTAACGTTACCCGTGGGGGGTGCAGCAAGCAGCGGCCGCTTTACAACCCGCAGTGAAGCTCTCAGTTTTTTTCGCACGGGGTCCAGGTAGCAGAAGACCTCAATCGGTACATGCGGCCTCGACTCACTGAGTGGGGCTTGCTTCTGGTGACATTTCAGTGGCACGTGCGTTTCAGTTGCTCTCCGTCTGTTCGGACTCGCCTGGATCCTACTCAAGATTCAATGCTTCTCAGAAGTCAAAACCAGGCAGTTCATGTCGTTCAGTGCTCCATCCGTTTCTCGCCTCTTTGATCGAAGGATCTTGGACCGAGCCGGATTTCAAGGGTAGATGGCCGGCTGATCTTGATGCTAACAGACTGGGAAGAGACTCAGAGGACGAGACAAGATTCTAACCATAGCAAACAATTGGTAACAGCAACAAGGGTTTAGGTAACAGCAACAAGGGTTTAGGGTTTAGCAACAAGGGTTTAGGTACCGGTGATATAATTCTGTAAGCAGTTGCCTGACATTTGTCGGCCTCTGACGGCTCTCAGGGTTTCGGTCATGGGCATGGCAAAGCAGGTGCCACTTTAGACTCCTCTTGAAGCTGGCTTGTCTCAGTGCTGGCTAAGCCTAGAGAGTAGAGCAGCCTTGGAGTCCGACGTTGAAAACCTTTCAGAGCGCAGAGATTGCCGCTGCTTTTGTCATTGGTCCAAGGTCGGGCAGTTGCCTGCCACCCAGCTGTCTTCCAGCTAGAATGACCACTGTCTGCGGCTCCGGTGTGAAATGCGATGCTGACAATGAGGCCATATTGAATGTCCGCAGGGCATGTATCCGAACCAGGAAGCCCGCAGATGTTCATATTGCAACAGGACCCACTGCCCGGGGCTGCGGAACGTTTTGGCATCCACGTTTCAAGTTCATCCAATTCCGAAGCAGGAACTGTGCTGTCTGCGGAAGCTTCTCCGTCTGCGACCGGTGCTTCCAGGCACAGCATTGCAACAGCTTGCAATCTGCGCAGCCCTTGATCGGTGATCAGACGACAGGACACGGTTGACACCTCTTATGTCCTGGACCAGAGCGACGGCAGTTGCACAGAGGCGGACCGGATCTATAGCCTCCAGCTTTGACCCACTAGTTCTGCTATAACCTTGAACAGCTGGTGTGCGATCAAGACGGCGCAAGGGCGGGGGCAAGAGCGAGCAAGCAAGAGATGCACTATGTAAGTTAAGCTCATACTGCGGTGCATGGGTCAAGATGTCGGCATGCACGCAAGACCGGGTTTGCGCACAAGAAGCGTGCAAGCGGGCACAAGGCCCTTACATGGCCACGCAACTTCGATCAGCCCCCAGTTGTCGTCCAGGTCAGGGGCAGCTTCTTCAAGAAGTATTACTGGTGGTGGCGACCTTATTTGAAAGAGTGATTACTTCGCAGTGGGCATCTTGTCAGAGAGCAGCCAAGCGAAGGTGCCTCTCCGGATCGATCTTCGGCGGGCCCTGGTCCCAGTCCTACCTAACATGACCTGGCAGAATCCGGGAATTTTGGGAGAGGCTCATCTTCTGCTTGTGTCTGGTCTCTGTCTGCCGGCAGCTCGGCTTTTGCAAGGGATCATGGGAGGACCACGACCCTAAATGCAGAGGTGAGTGGTTGAGCAGAACCTGCTGCGCTTCAAGACGGAAGCTCCAAGCTGAGATTTCTCTCTTACTTGCGTGTTACGACTCTGATCATAGCTTGTAGCTTGTACCCCCATCGCACGTGCAGCGTCTGCTAGGCGGCCGGGCGTGTCTAACCAGTGAGAAGACAAATAGCTTCATTCCTTGTGGAAGATCTTGCAAGGTGTGGCAGTCTAGGGCCTTCGGCAGTTGGGAGTCCAAGCAGTGCGACCTCCTGGAGTCGGAGTCGGAGTGCGAGCGGCTTTCGCAAGACAGAGTCAAAGGACGTGCCCGGCAAGCCATGAACAAGACAATCTCTATGTGCTGGCATGCAGCCGATATGCCGCGCCTCCTGCTTTTGTCAGTCACGCCCTCCTGCACGTTCGGCCCATCCACTATTAAATAGTCATGATAATAATCATGCTAGTAATAATACTAAACATCATCATTGTAACGACGATAATAACCAGAATATTAATATTAACGCTACTACCCTGCTAGAGTTTTGCGACCTCCATTTGTGGTGTTTTCAGCCTGCGGTCCCAGAGCCGCGCTTTCCACTGTTGCGCCTCGCACACTCAGGTTTCAACTCAATTCAGACTCTGACATCGATTGACGCCGGACCAAAGTGTCCGTCAGCTGCAAGACCTCGCGAAGAGGAACGTAGCTCGCTCGCCTGGCAAGCTGTCAAAGATTACAGCAGGCTCGTTTCAAGCATGGGGGAAAAGGACGTCAGTGCCCACGGCCCCTTTCAACCACAGTGGCGCTATGGCTCTGCTGGCCGAGAGAGGTAAGAGCAGAACTGTTTCGGTCCGGCACTCTAGTCGCCAGGTTTCTCCGGGCAAGCCAGGCAGCGCGAAGATTGGTATGCAGCAGCGGATGGTATGCCTTGTTCCCACTCAGCATACTAAAATGCGAAACGCTCCACTCCGGATTAGCACGTGAGTCCATTTCGAAGACTTGCATCAAGCAGGAATTCGCCGAGTTCGACGATGGTGAGCCAGGGGCTTCGACGCTCAAGAGGCAAGACACCTCACGTTTTGCGAAAAGCACTCTGAGGGGTCTGCCAGCTCCCGATGATCCGTGGTACTGGCCAGGCAGGGCAGGGTTCGCAAATACTTTCTCTTTGAACTGCAAGCCGAGCAGCTGTACATCTTGAGGCTGGGATGGGCCTGCGCACGATCGGTGTCTTGCCTAGCCCGTCGTTTTTCAGAGATTTGCCTTTCGATTCATCGACGTGCGCAGTGGCCTGGGAATGAAATACCACGATCCGGGAGGCAGATTGCAGAGGACGCCCCTGTTGCCGAGGCCCCAACGCAGTTCCCGACCGTCCTCTGCGAGAGCCAGGCAACCGCCGGGATGCGCTCCTTCATGCTTTCTTGAGCCCATGTTTGTAAGATCCTGTCGAGACGACATTTCGATCTGCAAGTTGAAGTTGTGCCAACCTGTGCCCCTGACAGAGGCAAAGCAAACCGCCAGGTGTGGGACGTTGCGAACTCAAATCGAACAGTGGCCAAGTGCAGCGGGCTGTGGGGTATACTCAAGGCGCTGCAGGGCCTGCTTTCGTCGGTGACGAGGCTGCTGAGGGTCACTCGAACAGAGTATGTGGCCCGTCAACTTGCCTTGCGCATGAGTCATCCTGCTGCCGAGAATCCGGATTCCCCTAAACCCTAAACTTCCCTAAACCCTAAATCCTAAACCCCTAAACCCTCAACCCATCGCGCAGGTGCTTGGCAATCGCCAAGAACCGGAAAGCCGGTAGCTGCCTCAAAGGGACAAGGGGTACCAGTGTGAAAGCTTCGCCTTGGTGTCAAAGAGGCCGGTCGACCACAACGATTTCCGGAATGGGCTTGCTGCCGAGCCCTTCCCCTTTACGCAAATCGGTGGCCGAAAAAATGTTGCGTCCGTATGCTTCTGAACAGGACGACAGGCCAAGCCACATCTCAAATGGCAGATTGCGTGTTGCTGACCTGTCGAGGGGAGTCAAGGTGAGCTTGGCTTTGACTTTTTCGCCAGGTGAAAGGCGTCCTTTCTCGCATAAACGAGGTGCCTAGCTGAAATCAGGGCCTCAGGAATTTTCCGGAGGAAACATCTCCTGCCTTCGCCAGGCTCTCACAAAGCTGGACCAACCGCAGGACGAGCGAGCAACCCCAAACCTCTCTCTCCCCCTTGTTTGCCTTTGCCACCGAACCCTAAACCTAAAACCCCTAAACCCCTAACCCCTAAACCCTAAACCCCTAAAAGTAGCATGACAGGACTGGGAGCCTGTGATGCCAGGCATAGGCGCGCGCCTGAGAGACCTTGAAAGAGAGCATGCATCCCGGAAGAGACTCACAGTCTAGGACTTGGGGTTTCAGGGGTTTCAGGGGTAGGGGCCACGAAAGAGAAGAAGCATCATTCAAGAAAAGACCCTGCCCTTCCGAAGGATTCGATGGCCAAAGGGCTCCTTAGATTCTGGCCCTTAACCCACGGCGCTGGCTTGCTAATCAGGGTCTACAGTACCCTTCAGCCATCTTTGGCCCTTAGCCGATCCGGAGCTTGTATCGGAGCAGTTTCGCTCTCCCTGCCAGGGACTCCTGGCACGGCGAGAGCCCAGCAGGCGCCGTTACGTGCAGAAATTGCGCGGTTCCTGACCTCCACGCCCCGGAAGCCTCAGCGACCTCAACTCGAACCCTCTGCAACCCCTAGACCTCCCCTTAAGACCACCAGGAAACCCTTTAAACCCACTGAAAGCTAGGTCTGTTGCGCAGCGCATTTTTTTGTGCTCAGAGGCTGAAGTGCAATCTGCTGAAGCCTTTGCCTCCACACGACCCGGCCCTGGAAGCAGGCAGCCTTTGCTCCTTGTTCTTGTCCCGAGCCTTTTTGGTGAGCACAGGGGCCAGATTGAAGTTTTTTCCGGCATGACATGATTAATAAATCAGAACTAATAATAATCCAAAATAATAGTTCATCATAACCAAGAATTACTTAATCACAATAATAGTAGCGGGCCTTGGGGGCATGTCTAAAAGCTGTTGAAAAAGCGGCAAAAAAGGGGAGCCCTCTCTGGAGGCTCAGCGCTCGCGGGCACGTGGGCGCCAAGAGCCCGGTCCTGGTGACTCCTCGAGCCAGGGACCCGATACAGTTCGAGAGGAGCTCAGCTCTCGACTATCATTAGCTATTATTAGTTCTTATTAGTTATTATCCGTTATTATTAGTTACTATTAGTTGTGATTAGTTATTATTAGATATTATTTGATATTATTCTTGTTACTATTGATCATTCTTCATGATTAATAAAGATGATTAAAGATCACTAGTTTTTCTGCTGTCTCAGCACTTTCTCCGGCCCTTCGAGGCTCGCGTATATAGTTTGGGGTCGACGGAAACAGATATGTCTTGGTGTGTGGAGTGGGGCTGCTAAACAATCATTGTATGACAAAAAAGTGAGGCACCGTCAGCAACAATCTTCAACAACCGAAACCCAAGTTGTAACTGCACAGCTTGACTTCAGAGCAAGATGATGTGGAGGGCAGCACGATCGATGCGTTTCTTCGCGCACGCCGCCGACCCTGCCGGCCTCCTGCAGACTCGGAGACTGGGACCTCCGCTCGAGAAGCCGGATGCGATGCGCTTGCTGATCGTTTGGCTCCTCGGCTGCTCCCAAGTCGGTCTCTAAACCCTATAGGGTTATAAACCCTAAACCCTAAAGTATGAGATACTTTTTGTGTGATGAGTGTTGCGACAGCAGGCACTCCAGGACTGGAATGGCGAAACAAATGGCAGAGGCGCTTTACACTGGTGCGCTGAAAGCGATGCAAGACATGGAAGCTGCAGAAACCGACTTTGCGATCGACATGCTCCGTGCTCAGGATGCGCAGGTGAGCGATCTGCTGTCGGCACATGGCTTCCTCTTTTGTGCACCGGAAAACCTCGCTTCAATGTCAGGTGAGATGAAAGAGTTTTTCGACCGCTGCTATTATGGAGCACTTGGCAGATTGAACGGACGTCCTGTCGCACTGGCTGTTTGCGGTGGCTCAGATGGCGAGGGTGCAGCAAATCAGATGGCCCGCATATGCAGGGGTTGGCGCTTGAAAAATCTGGCAGTGCCTTTGATTCTGAGAAGTGGAGCGCAAACTCCTGAAGCAGTGGCTGCTGCGAAGGTCTTGGACACAAGCGGAACGGAGAAGTGCATGGATTTAGGTGGTCTGATGGCGGCACACATGCTGCTTGGGGTGCCGTGAGAAATTGGGTTCATGAGATAGCATCTGCGTGGTACCGTTGACCCAAAACCTTAAAGTTGTGAGAACTAGGCGAGGGCTGGTCGCGAAAAGCGTGGCCTTGCCCTCATGTAGGCATTCGGCCATGCCATCCGTCTGAAAGCTGTGCACTGCGGTTATATTTTATTACATTATATTATCTTATCTTATATTATATTATATTATATTATATTATATTATATTATATTATATTATATTATGGGATAGAAGCTGTTCAGCAGTTTGTTGAGCTCAGACCAGTCGGACAGTTGGTGCCTGCCCGAGGCCTTTCTTGGCAAGTTTCAAGACGGCGCGCCGAGACCCCAGAAAGTGGAGAGACTGTGGGCGTCCGAATGCATGTTCTCCTTTGGCATGGGTTTAGGGTTTAGGGGTTTAGGGTTTAGGGGTCTAGGGGTTTAGGGGTTTAGGGTTTAGGGTTTAGGGGTTTAGGAGTTTATGGAGGTTTCGCTCCGTGGTTTTGCCCTATCAGGCCGCGAGATGGTCACTGGCGGGTCGTCGACAGCTGGGCATAGCAGAAGCGCAGGGAGAGCGGAGCGGGGCCTTGCAAAGGGAGGGTTTAGGGTTTAGGGTTTAGGGTTTAGGGAGGGCAATCGGGAGAGCTTCATAATGCGGTACTTAAGCTGCATGTTCCATGCTATACATTCTGTTCCTATACAAGACATCACATTGTGCATGGGCCTTGTTTGGCGATGCCAACTTTCGGGCTCATGGCTCTGGCACATAGCACGAGGCTGGCAATGAATTCATTTAATGAACCTTGCGAGAGGTGGCACCGGAATCGCAGCTGAAATTCGCCTTGCGTCCGGTAGCACATGCAGGCACACGCAGAGAAAATAGGTCTGCTTGAACTCTTGGCAATGGCATGCACTGTGATCCAGAAGCGGAGTCTGCTGCACCGAATCGTCTCGTGCGTTCGACTGGTTGCTGGCTCTGAGTGGAAAGTGTAGGGCTCGACGATTGCAAGGAGGAAGGCCGCGACGGAGAGTTTGTGTGTGGGAGAGAGACAGAGAGAGAAAGCAAGCAAGCAAGAGAGAGGGAGAATGTGGGGCACAAACCGGTAGATTCCCGGTAGATACTTCTCACACCCCTTCAAAGCAACCCCAAACAGTGGGGGGCCCTTGCGGCCAGGGGGTCTCGCACACCCTATGCCCTGTGGAAGAAGAGAGAAAGCAAGCACGCGAGGGGTACTCTTTAGGGGGTTCACAGGCTCATTCGGAGGAACATTGTGGCCATGCCCAGAAGGGGCCGAGAAGACAGACCCGTGGGCCTCCGGGCCAAGGGACCTCCCGTCCCCATACCCCAAGCAAGCAAGCAAGCAAGCAGCACAGAGAGAGGCGGATTCCCTTCGGGGATCATCCGATAAAATTGGAACGATACAGAGAAGATTAGCATGGCCCCTGTGCAAGGATGACACGCACAAATCGAGAAGCGCACCAAGTTTTTAACCGTGCAAGCGTGCAAGCAAAGAGGCTGCTCCCTTAGGCCGTGGAGAAGAAGAGAGAAGGCTGTGCTTTCCCCACCCCCTCCCTGGCGAAAGAAAGAAGGCCGCGCTGGAGAAGAGGGAGAAGGAATGTATGTGTGTCTGTCGCTGTTGGCCTGTTCAGCTCCTTAAGTCGCAAGCATCACGAACTTGCTTTGGAGACCTGAGTTGTGCAGAGGAAGTTGCAAGCATCTTCGACATCAATGTTGGTTCGCAGCATTTGTGTTCGAGGATTCAGGCCGAGCCCTGTCTTTCCAGCTGGACGCATGGACGGCGATGACGATTCGGATGACTGGCTGACGCCGATTCGAACTGTCCCTTGTCAGAAGTCAAAGCAGTTTATCTCGGTGCTTTGTGTGTTCGACGTCCTCGGAACCCGTTCATTGCCAAACTGGCTACAGGCCAATACACGCGCACACCTGTCCATGCGTCACACAAGTGTGACCAATCCACCTTCCAGCGAGTCTCTTACGTCCTTTTCAGGCCATGCAGTTCCTGACAGTGCATCAACTTTGCTATGCTCTGACGCACCTCCAGCGCGAGCTTTCTAATGCATTCTGGAAGTACAGTTTTGCTCGATATGGAGGGGCAGGAATACAACCAGAAGATCTGAATACAGCAGAACGCATATCGAGACCACGACGCAAGACAGCAATAGTCATGCGATCTCAATGTCATACTTGCAGGCTTGTCTTTGGAAAAGTTCCCCACTGCAAAACCAAGCCCCGAAGGCAGTCTGTTGGCACACTCGGAAGACAGAAGCGAATCCTGGTTGAAGAATGTTGCTGTCACATGAATCTCGTTAGTTGCGGGAGTCGGAGGTTCATATTGAGGCAGGTCTATCACAGGGGGGTCATGATTGCTATAGCACGATTTTTCCGTGTTCGGATGTGTATGTGATACGTTTTTGGGACGGAAGGGGGCCACCATCATGCACCAATCCACGTCGTCCCACGATTTGTCTCTGCGTGGTGGTGTCAGATTCATGACATGTCGGGGTGCATGGAGATAAGCCTTGTTTTGCTGTCAGCAAGCCCAAGGCTGAGACAACCAAGAATGGCCAGCAGGATGATGTCGGCATTAATGGAGCTGAGCTGCGAGAGCTGGAAGAAGCCGAGTCAGAGGAAGAAGACGAGGACGAGGAAGAAGACCTACGGCCTCTTGAAGAAGCAGAAGCCAAGATAAGGTGGCTTCGGGAAGAGCTGGCTTGGGTCAGAAGCACGGCCGAGACAGAGCAGTCAGAGAAGCAGTCCCTGCAGGGAGAGATACAGCAGTTGAAGCAAGAGATGGCAAGGCTTCGACAACAGTTGAAACAGGAGCGCCAACAAGCTCAAAGGCAGTCCTCCCAGCTTCGACAACAGTTGAGACAGGAGCGCCAACAAGCTCAAAGGCAGTCCTCCCAAGATATGAGTCAGATGATGGAAACCATGCGTCAAGAGGAGAAGGCGCAGCGGGCTGTGGAGAGAAGCCGGCAGGAGAAAGACACTGCTTTCAGTGCAATGCGGAAAGCTCAGGCCAAGAGCGAGCGTTTGCAGGCACAGCCTTTCCTGAAGATCGACTATGAAACAGACTCCGGCGGGTGGGCTTCCTATCCAGCAGATTCAATCGACAAGATTTGGGAAGAACTTTGTGCTGGTAAGCGTGAGTTGGAGTTCGATCGTGGCGATGAGACTTACCACATCAGCCTCCAAGAACTCATTCAAAAGAATACGAGAACGAAGAAGAAACGCAGCATTCGCATCAGGTTGGATGTGCCACAGTACTGGTCGATGTCGTCAGGCCTTGAGAAGAAAGTCTTCCCACGTTGTTTGGCGATCGGACCTGACGAAATTGACGAGGAGATCTTTAACAGGGTATGCGTCCTTGTGCCGGAGAGCGAGAAACTTGAGATTGAGGAAGTGGTGAAGGGCTCCGTCTTCCACCACTTGGATTTCCAAGGTTCATCTGCCTGTGGCTTAGAGACGGTGGCTGTCAAGCGAGCTTGGAGGATCGAGCACCCGACTCTATTCAGGAAGTACAGTCTGTGCCGCTCAGCTCTGCAGGAGAAGAGCCAGGGCGGGGTTCCCGACATAAACCCACCAATCGGGGAGGAGTTGTCTCTGCTTGCCAAGCGGCGTCTTCATCAAGATGTGAGAGCATCTGTGAATGAAGTCTTCTTGTTTCACGGGACATGCACTTCCAACATCCATTCGATTGTCGCTCATGGCTTCGACTTCCGTCTTGCAAAAGCCGGGTTTTATGGACAAGGCACGTACTTTGCAAGCCAAAGTTGCAAAAGCTGGCAGTACTGTTGTCGCTGTCGCTCAAATAGAGATGAGGCCCGCTCCATGATAATTGCCAGAGTTTCGCTCGGCAATCCGCACTGCATCAATGAGGTGGATCCGAAGCGAAAGCTCCCGCCGAAGGGTTTCGACTCTGTCGTGGCCAACCCCGGACCCATGCTGGGCCATCATCACCGAGTTCAGTCGCACCAAGAGTTCGTGATCTTCGACAGATACCAGGCCTTTCCAGAGTTCCTCGTGGAGATCCACGAAAATCCGTAGTCCCCGGCAGCTGGAAGCAGTGAGGCTTATGAAATCACGGGCCGTTTTGGGAGCAAGTGAAACTGCGGCCGTGCTCTGTTTCTGCCTGCATGCATATAGAGAGGAAGCTCAGTGCACCTGCCAGCACAGCTTGGGCTTGGACATGAAGTGAGCCGTTTAAGACCTGTGCAGGTTGGCAGTCTTGCTCGACGGGTTCTGCACGGTGCTCAGTAAACTCCTCGCAGTTAGTACCCATGGACCCATGACAATCGTCTCAGTATTGCGAGCCCTTTTTCGGCGGTCAGTGTTGTGCGCAGCTCTGAGCTGCTGGCTGCGAGAGAATGGGTTAGAGTTCCGGGTTGATGTTGCTGTGATGCCGAAGTCGTTGGGCCGACATTGGCGCTGTTCTTCGCAACGGCCCAAAACAGCCTTGGGGTGTGCGTTTTCTCGCAATGGCCCAAAACAGCCTTGGAACCCGAGAGACCCGAGGCCACAGGCACGCCGCACATGGCTTTACTTACACCTGAGAGGTTCGGCAACCTTTGGGGGTTCTTCTCGGAACATGTCTTATGGCTGCCTGCTCGAGTGTTCTCCAGGATTTCCTGTGGTCATTGCGAGCAGTGTTCTGAGTGCCATGCTGGGAGAGTTGCTCAAGTTTATCATCAGTAGGTTTTTCCCCCAACCCATTTACAGGCTGTTTTCACTGTCATGGCTCAATGTGTTTCTCGAGTCAGGCTCGTCCAGCTAGTCCAGCCCGACTTTCTGCCCTGCTTGTGAGAAGCATGCATGCCGGATGTTAGGTTCGGTTAGACTAGTGACTAGTGTGCCGGAAGAGTATGTTGATGGGAAACTGTCTATGTCCCTCGATTCCGCACAAGTAGGCTGTTTGTTTGTGGTTTCGGGCTGATGCCACGCAATGGAACAAAGAATTCCACACAAACACAGCCTGCGAGCTTCACAAG